AAGACCTACATTTTACAATATTAATATTATTTTTAGTGATCCCTGAAATTTTTGGTAATACTAATACCAAATGTTCACTTTGTCTGATTTTGTTGCAGCATGCCCCATATAAATTGTCGATCCTCTTTTATTAAATGTGTGTAACGACGATCGATCCATAAAAGGATTTTTAACTATGCTTGCACCAGTTAGTATGTTTACTTTTTTGTTTCTATAATAATTCAGTAAAAATAATAAAATGAGAGATTTTATTACGAAAATCTCAGCAGAAACTGAACAAATCTATTATGAATTATGTTATCAAAAAGCTCCTAGGTTTGTAAATGTTTTAAACTATTTATTATATAATAATAATTATTATTATTAAAGTTTATTAATAACTATAAATAGACGCTTGGCTTGGTCACCTTTAAACATAATTGCGTGGTGTCAAACCTTTGAAAATTCATCAGATACTTCTTCACAAGAATTACCTATTATAGGGATATTTAATCCGGCTCGTATATCTTCGTCGAATAATAATAATAATAATGATGGCAATAGTAAAATCACTGGACCGGCTTGGTCATTTATTCATCCAAATAATTTTTCTCCACTTACAAATTCCGAGAAAAACCATCGTTGTAGTGAATTTATAACTGATATAGTTTGGAATATGACTGGATCAGCACTTGCGTCAATAGATCAAAGAGGTAAAATTTTTATATGGACTATGGTTAATTATATAAATCGTTGGACATGTTTTCGCGATTTTGATTTGGGAGAAAATATAATTGAATTTTCATGGCTTGATCATTTAAGACCTGTAAGTTTATTCCAAAATCTTAATTATCAAATCGATGTATGTTTATGGACAAGGCTTAATATAACATATAACAATAATAATAACCAAATAATTATTATTATTTATTATAGTTTTCAAAATCTACACAAAATGGTTCCACTGGTCAAACATTATATAAAAGAAATAAACATTTTGGTTATAACAATAATTTTGGCGAGTATTCTTTCATAACAGTTACTGCAGATGGCAAGGTAATTACGACTTGGAAAAAACAATATTAATATTTAGAAGGGGACTTTAACAATAATTAATAAATTGGTTTTATAAATATAGGTATTTGTTTATCATCAGCCAGCAAAAAAAAGCTTTTCAACTTTCACAGCTCGATTACCGTATCCTTCTTGTCGTATATCACATGCTAACATAATCCTTAATGATGGTATAAATAAAATTTTTGATATAATTATTTCTTCTTACGTATAGGCTCATTTAATTATATAATATATTAATATATGAAAATTTATAGATAATCATTATATACTGGCAATATATAGTTCAGATATTTTACCAAAAGTTGCATTGATATATGATATTTCAATTGATTTGCTCAAGTCACAAGTTTGTTGTCATTTAATCGGCAATGTACAGCTTACTGCACCCATAGATGAAATATTTAGCCCGCATGCACAACTTATTCATTTAAAGTTGTTACCAAGAACCTCAACTCATCCAATTAGACTTTTAATAATAACAGCTGATAAAACTGGTAAATATATATTAAAAGTTTGTTTTAATTTAAAACGTAAAAAAATCAATAATTGTAACACCTCTTGTAATAAATCAAACAGTAGAGAATAATGTAGAGAGTTTTGATAGTGATATTACAATGTGGGAACTTATAACTAATAAAGAATCACAACAAAAATTAGACGGGGGAGATATTGGAAGTGAAAATTTTACTACAGAACAAGGTGATAATAGCACATTATCAACTGATAGATTTACAATGGTACAATCTCAAATAATATATCAATGAATTTTAATTATTTGCATGATAATAACAAATCTTAGTCCAAACTGGATTGATTATAGACGCTAAAATTTGTAATAATTAAACATATACCGAAGCAACTGATTACTGGTATTTGGCAACATGGAAATGAATTAGCTATTGGCTCTAATGATGGAAAAGTTCAGTTTTGTGATTGGTAAATCATTTAAAATTTTTTAATACTTCATATATATATAAATATCAAAATTTACTAGATATTGATACATTAATTTTTTTAATTATTGATAGTAGTAACATGTTAAAAACATTGCCACAATCAGGACCACTTGAGACCACATCCTTTAAAGAAGATTTATTTCCTACATTTAGTAGTTGGGTGCCTTCAAATTATACACAGGAAGGTAAGAAAATGATTCGGAAATAAAAATAAATAAAAATTTGCAATTTTTTGATCTTAAAATATTAATTTATCTTTGATTATATTATGAAGATTCTGCTATTTTAGAATTTTCATCTTCGCCCAATGGCACGATGCTTCTATGTAGAAGATTAACAGGAAAACTGAATTTCCTTGATATGGCACAGATAGGTTTAACCAGATCTCAATTCGATAATAACTTCTTGGGTAAGTACTTTTTTTACACAAATATTCATTATTAAATATTTATTAATAGCTTACTTTATATTAACTTATTCTAGATTTTCCGATGGTTGTAAAATCTTGTGCAGATGTTTTAACATTATCTATATTAAATGGAATTGACCATGTTGATTTAGAAAATGTAATAAAAAAACATGAAGAAATGTTGGGAATTGATGGTATTTAAAATTAATTCATTATAAAAGATGTTAATATTAATAATAATGATAATGATAATGATAATGATAATGATAATGATAATGATAATAATAATATATATATATATATATTAGAGTTTTTAGAGATGATATTGGAAGAAACTTTTACCAACCTTGCAACTGTTTTTCCAAATATAACAGAATATTCTATGGGATCAGATTATCTACTTACACTCTTTGGAATACAATTATCGTTATTGAAATCATGCGGTCGTGATAACACTGTATATTTGAATACATTATATTTTATTCAACTGTCTGCATTGGAAAAAATATTTCTTGATTATAAAGTCTCTGATGGAAAGTTTTCAATAGGTAAAATAATATTTCTACTTTGTTGTTATTATTAAACTATTATTAATTAATAATGAATCTTTATGTATATATTATAAAGAATTATTAAGATCTATGACATATATAACAATTTGGATTTTGGATTTTGCTGTGTTTTTAATAAAAGATATTCATTTATTATTTTTCACAATAAAAAAAGGTCATGATTTAGGTAAAAAAAATTTTTTTTGTATTATATTAGTAATGAAATTTATAATTCAAAAAAAAATAAAAAAAGACTAAAATTTTACAATTTGTTTCCAAATAAATTAAATTTTCAGGTTCAGAAAAGTCACATATTGTGTTATTTTATAATCCAATAACTAGAAATGCATTAAAGAATCTAATAATATTAGTTGGTCAATTCAAAGAAACTCTTTACAATCTTTCAAAACAAAATTCTAGTGATTCAGCAATTTATGAATTAAACAAATCTTTACAATTTTCATTTGATAAATGGCCACTAGATTTAGCATTTTTAAAATCTTTTATTGACGAATCTTTTGAAATTATTGAAAAGGCGATGAAAGGTACATTTGCAATTACTATTACTATTATTATTACAACTATCATTTTCATTATAATCATTATTATTATTAATTAGTAATTATATAAATATAAATAAATCGTAGGTGTTTCTGATAAACAAAAAATTGAATATAAGGTGATCATAAGATCGAAGTTATCAATGTTTCCTTCATTACATGGAACTCTAAAAGATATAGAACAAAGTTATAAAACCAACTTTAGTGAAATTAATAAGGTTAAATTATATTATTATGATACGGAATGGATCAAATCTGATTCTGTGGACATTCTTTTAAAGTCTCGTACAATCAAAGAAAAAGCATGTACAAGGTAATTTAATTAAATCAAATCTATTATAAATTATAGATCGTTAATATTGGTTTTTTATTTTTTATAATTAGATGTGGAAATTTTTCAGCAACAACAAGTTTGAATAATATGATCTGGACAAAAGGTTATTCAAGATCATGTATTTGTGGTGGCTATTGGATAGAAATTAAAGACAAACAATCTTAGAAAAAATTTGTTTTACAAGAATTTTTATAATTAATTAATTATTACTACTTTATATATAATATATAATCACTTAAAATGAAATTACTCCGTCAGACACAGCTTTGTTAAATAAATGATATAGGAGATATTCATTATGAAAATCTTCTTCTATATATTAATTTAAAAAAATTATAAACGTTGTATATTTTTCATTAATTTCTATGTCTACTACCTATAAACGCAATGTATTACTATAACTATCGAGAAAGCCATAATCCTTTAATTAGCGAATGAAAACGGTCCGACATTTCCTTGGTTGAAAAAAAATATCGAAATAATTTCCAAACTTGGTTAGTATACTCCGCTCTTTATCAGTCGTTCATTAAAATCTCTTGAAAACAAGGACGTTGTTTGGAATAAAAAACCTATCACTGACAGCGAGCGACGTTCTTGCTTATATGTATGATTTTCGTCTTCTGCTACCTTTTCCACCTGCCTTTTTGCGATATTCAGTTTTTATCATAGATAGAAGTTGAATGAACATTTGAAAAATTGTTACACGGTCGTAAAAAAAAAATAAATAATAATAATAATAAAAATAATTGGTTTCATCGTATTGTATTCATTATTTTTTTGGAAAAGAAAAAACGATCAATTCTCATTTTTATATTTATTAGTACGTGAATTTGTGTATGTGTGCACTCTTATCTTATCTTCTCTCTAGTTACGAAGATAAAGTAGAATGATAAAATACCAATTTGTTATTTATTATTGTTATTAAAAAGAATTTTTTTTTTATCTGAAAAATTACCAAATTGAGTTAATTTTACATTATAAATTAAATTAAGAAAGAAAGAATGCATTATTTATTATCATAATTCATTGTTGGTTGCCGTTAATTAACTATTAATTAAAAAGTTTTATTACGTCTTTTAAAATGAACAACAAATGCCAATTGTTTACTGTTACCTAATTTTCATATAATAATAATAACATCAAACTATTTTCTAACATTTAAAAAGCTAGTACTAAAACGGTATACTATATATACCTTTTTATATTTTTTACCAATTAATCCTCCTCGCATGATTTTTAATACAGGTACATAACACCATAACCATTACCGCACCCGTCATCACGTAATCATCATAACCGTTTGTTATTCATCAAACAAAATTAAATTTTGAAACAACTATTTTTATTAAATACAATAATTACACGAATGCTATAATAATAAGACAAATGTTGAAGGAAAAATATTAATATTTACCAATTTCCTTTTATTGACTGTGTGCATCAAATAAATCAAAACATAAATCCGAATTTCGTTTTTTTTCTTTTGTTTTTTTTAATATTTTCCTTTCTAAAAAAACCACCACCGCCACTACTACCTAAATTTCCCACTAAACACTTTAATCCCCACTTTCATTTATCTACCAACTATTATTACTACCATTGCAGCAAGACTACTTTTACGAGCTTTGTATAGCAAAATTTATATCATCACTAATATCATTTATATAATACACGCACACTAGTTTTCTTCTTCTTGCCGCTGGTTTTTTTTGAACTGTGTTCAAACGGCGATTATTTACGCAACTATTAATTATAATAATATTTCTTCATTAAAAGAAAATTGTAAAGAAATCTGCATCTTCGGATAATCGTAATAACAATACAACAACAACAACAACAACAACAACAAGAAGAAGAAGAAGAAGAAGAAGAAGAGCGTAGAAGATATTTAATTTGTAGAGCACAATTAAATATAATGTTTTTTAAATAGTTTAATTTGAAATTTATTTGTCTATTTACTATTATCATTATCAATATCAATAATAATTTATTCACAAAGAAAAAAACATTTAGGAATGAAAAGTTTCCAACTCAAGAACTTGCATTTGATATGTTTTATGCATATATTTATATTAATCGTTGTAAGCAAAGCTACTTCGTCAACAGAAACACCCAGTGACAAATATGATATAACATATAACTTGAGCACTTGGGAACCCCAATTAACGCCAACGCCAACGCCAATGCCAACGCCAACGCCAACACCAACACCAACAAAACCAAAACCAAAAGAAAAAGACCCGAAACCTACAATAATGCCTCCAGCTGATGATATAATTACTGCAACAAAGTCAACATCAACGCCAACACCAACATCAACATCAACAACATCAACATCAACAACATCAACATCGCCATCACTAACAACACCACCTTCACCAAATATCGACAATAATCCAGCCACTTCATCTGATATGATCGATAGTGATAACAATAAAAAAAATGGTTCAAATATTGGTCTAATAATAGGAATAACTATTGCAATAATTATAATTGGCATTTGTGCATTTGCTGGATTTTTGTGGCGCCGTAGAAGATTAAGACGTTTCTCAAGAGTTACAGTAAGTTTTTCGAAAATAAATTAAATAATAAATTATTATTATTATTATTATTTATATTAAAAAACAACATTTATTTTCTTCTTGTAGCCTATGGAAAGTTGGAAAATACTTAATGATCCGTCCACAGATTTTAGAAGATCATCAAGGATGCCAATGACGACAAATTATTCGCCTTCACAGCCATCAAAAACTTTTCGATCAAATCAAGAATTTCCAAGAGCGAAAAGATTAGTATATGATAGAGAAACTACATTACCGAAAATTCGACGATCTAATGATGCATGGGAACAATATTTAAGTATGGTTATTCAGAGGCCGGAGCAACTTGCTAATAATGATAATTATAATAGTAATTATAACAGTGGTTATAGTAGTGATAATAACACTGGTTATAGTATTAATAATGGTTATATATATAAGTAAATGGCAAAGTGAAAATAATCTCATTATCATTTATTCATTCATATTCATTCTGTACAATCTAATTAATATATATTAATGATTTCATTTTTACAACGAATATAATAATTTTTCGGTGTTTTATGCAACCTTTTTTGTAAAATGATGGCTTCATCTTACATTGTTAAGAACGCGTACAATTTAGGTACATACACCATTTAGAACAGCATGGTGACTGTGATTTTTTTTGTCTATGCCAATTACAGTCTTTTCTTCCCTTCATAACTAGATCAACACTATCGCGAATATATTTTGATGATATGTCTTTTACAAAATAAAGGTTCATGATTTCATATAAGATGATTTGCCCATGTAATTAATTGATCTCCAAATATACACGACTTTGACATTTATGAAAAGATGGTATTAACATTATCTCTATAAACTATTTAAATACCAATTTAAAGCAGTGTTGGCAAATGACCTCAAAATGACCTTGAAATGACCAAATCATGTGATGATTTTAATATAAGTTACATATATGAAATGACCTAGGTCATTTAAAAAAATAGCAAATGACCTTGAAAATTGCCAACACTGATTTAAAGAAATTTATTCAAATATATCTGTATTTTATTCATTATGGTTTTTTATTTGCTAATTCAATGACTCTTCAAGTGCACTTTTCTTTGAATCCAATCTCAACTTTTGATTACCTCCTATTTTTCATTCCCATTAAAGCTTTGCCTTTGGGTAATTTTCTTTTATCCTATCAGAAATTCTGCACCATCTCGGTTCTCCAACCGTGTACAAGTGCTGCCAGATTGCTTGAACAAATTGCCGAATCATTTGCTCTGAAATTTCTGCCGGAAAGCGATTTACAGTTCCATTATAGTTTTACACATTATTATTATAATATTTGTTGTCTTCATCTTTTAAGTGTATTATTTGTTTGGAAGAGACTGTTTTACAGCATTTGGAGGTGGTGGATTGCTAACAAAGTGAATTTAACGGAGCTAAATCTAATATCACAAGTTGAACATGCTTCAAGATGAAATATATCATGTCAACTAATAAATCTTAAACCCTATAAATCATAAATAATTATTATTTAGACATAGAAATTAAGAATATTTCTTTTCCTCCTAGATAAAATCATGTTGCACAGTGCTTTCCGATAAATTCAACAAATTTTATTAACATTAAACATTCAAAAAAACATTGTATTATGAATTACAAATCCCTCAATTTGTCTATTATTATTATCGTTTTTGCCTAATTGCCAAATATACTTATCTAAACCCTTCAAACTAATTTCCTGTCTACCTAATGATCTAGCATGTCTTAAAATGATCTCACATGAATCAATAGCTGCTGCACGTAAACAATATATTTCTTGTATATTAGGATTCTCTTTATTATTTTCTTCAAAAAATTTTTTGAAATGAGATGGTAAATTCATTATATTAGCATGATAAAGTATTGCTGGAACCACATTATTGCCATCAATTGTAAGTTCATTGATATCTTCAAAATCAAAATCAGATGTTTTGGTATTATTTTGAAATCGATGGTAGAGACTTGAAGCAAGGAATTGTGCTTTTTTGAAAACATATACAGCTAAAAAAATTTTTATACAATGAATATTAAACATTTATTTGAATTTTGAAATAATAAATAAAATGAAATCTTACGTTGATCATTGATCATTGCCATGTCTCTAAACGTTGGAAAAGCTTTGACCAGCTAAAACATAATTACACTTTTTTTTTTAAAAAAAAAAGAAATATAGTATAAACACATAAAAAAGAATCATATCTGTTTACCTTTTCTACCATTTTAGCAGCTTTGGGTTTTTCTCCACCTCTTTCTGGTTTAGATGCATCGATTAAAAACATAGCAAAATCTTTATATCCACTGTCTTCTAGTATTTTCCCTGTGTCATTCAGAACCCAAGTTATGATTTCTGCAAAAACTCGAGATTTTGATGGTTGTGATATGGTAATAGCTTGAATTGTTTTATGTGGCACATCAATTTGTAAAGGTATTTGGAACAATGAAGATACTTCTGAAAGTTTTATGGATCGTAATGCATGCGAACTCAAAGATTGTGATGTTATATGAAGGGACATGATTCCATATCTTATAGTGTCAAAAGCTCCCTTAAATATCACAGACGTATATGTATTATTACACATCAGAGATGTCATTAATAATAATAATAATAATTACTATTATTATCATAATCAATATCATACATACACGTCCACATTCTTCGTGTAATTCTTGACGATATCCACTTCCAAAATTTAATAATCCAAACAAACCAATTATATTCAATTCTTGTTCTAGAGTATCAAATCTTAAAGGCATCTACAATGTTGAAATTAAAAAGGGCCTATCTTAATTGTTTAATAGAAGTTATATATAAATAAATAAAATATTTATGTATTTTTACATTTAATAAACCATTGTTTTCGGATAATTTATTATAGTGGTTTGAATCTATCTTCTGAATAAAGTTTATAACCGCTTCTTCATTTACCTATATGTGTATGTATGTATATATATGTGTGTATTTGAATATTTCTTTTTTTAAAAAATTGTAAATAAATAATTAAATGCGTGTATATATACTTTTATGTCATTTTTTTTTGTAAGATCATGACATGAGGTTCGTACGGCTTGAATATAATTGCCTTGTGGGAAGGGAACCTTATTGTCTATAAATAATAATTGATTAATATTTGACATTTTTTTTCGTAAATAAAGAATAGCCAACACGGAATTATTAAAAAGGAAAAGGATCGTCGGTAAACTCTAATTTTGTCATAATAAAATAATTTGATTATAATTTGGTTATAATGCAACAACAGCAACAACAACAGCAGGAACGCTCACCAACAGAATTTTTAAATAATGTTATTGGAAGACCAGTTATTGTTAAATTGAATTCAGGTGTTGACTATAAAGGTAATTATTTTATAAATTATAAATTATTAACTTTATTTAATCAATAATTATCTTATGAATAGGTATACTTTCATGTCTTGATGGTTATATGAATATTGCACTTGAACAAACTGAAGAATGGGTAAATGGTCAATTCAAAAATAAATATGGAGACGCTTTTATTCGTGGTAATAATGGTAAATATTGTGTGTGAAAATATAATTAATTTAATTAGATTTTTAGAAATTAAACAAACTATTATTAATTTCATCTTTATTGTTTATGTTAATAAATCTTTATAGTATTATATATTAGCGCAGATAAAAACAGATGATAATTACTTATTAAATTTTATTATAATGTTGTAAAAATCTAATGAAACCATAAAATGATAAATAAAAATATTTAATAGATGGTGAAATATATCACTGGTGAAATAAAATCAGTAAAAAATCGGGTACCTGATCCCATCAAAAGAATAATCAATCATATTTCTGATTTTATAGCGAGGAAATTTATTTTGTTAAATAGTTTTCTTTATAGTAATGATAAATATTTTACACAATCTGATTATCAATTAATCATCGATGCAATTGCTGATTCCTTCCCTCATCTTTCATTAGTTGGTTTGTTCGTTAAATCAAAGGTTTCAACTGAAATTTGAATTATCATCAATCACTGGACAAACCCAATTCCATAGGACGAGGAAAAAACTCCCAATAAAATTAAATGGATGGATGGATAGATGAACAGAAGAAGAATTAATAATTGATTTATTGTTATATTAAATAATTGTTACGGCGTCCGTTATATTATGTGAATATTCAACTATAATCTCTATAATAATAATAAACAGAAAGAACATTTTATTCTCTCTAAACTATTAAAGGAAATAAAAAATATTCTATCGTTTTTAATTAAAAATCATTAATATTTGATTTATAAAAAAATCATGTTATGTCGGCATATATATAAATAGACTTTGTCCAATAAAATTCTAATTTTGAAAAAACCCTATTCAATCATTCATTGTTTATTTTAATTTCCTCCTCACACCACTTTTTTTATCGTTTATTATATATATATATAAAAAAATTTATTTTTCATTCCTTAAAATAAATTTTTTTTTTTATAAAAAATATACTATTCAAATTATCAATAAATTGGAAAAAATGAATTATTTAAGTCACATGCCAATATTCTTCTTAATCACTTTATACCTTTTATTATTTTCACCATTCAATTCTGCAACACAAACTCCTTTGAAAGAGAATACAAATTTAATGGAAAATTCTCTTGATGAATCAATTGAAAATTATTGTGCTGTAAATAATCTATATATTTTCTATTTACTTATTGTTTGCTTATTCTTTAAACTTTGATATATATGCTTAACTAAATTTTGAATGATAACAATAGCCTTCCGGATTAATTAGCGACGCTTGTTGTGATTATAAAACTGTCGAAAATATAAATAATGATTTATTTCCTAGATTACAAGAATTAATCAAAACAGATTTTTTTAAATATTATAAGGTTTTTTTATTTTTAAATCATTCTGGTTTTAAATGATGATTTGATTTAATTTAATTATTTTCTATTTGTAGTTGAATCTTTATAAGGAATGTCCGTTTTGGCACGAAAATGGCCAATGCATAAATCAAGCTTGTGCTGTTGAAACTACTGATGAAGTAAGTTGATTAAAAAATAGATATATCAATTATACATATTTATGAATTAATCAATATTTTATTTGATTTAGTCAAATGTTCCAGAAATGTGGCGCAGCAATGTACTGGGTGCATTGCAGACATCATCTAATGGCTTGGTAAAGTTATCGATAAAAAATATATTAATGTGAATCTTTTACACTATTTTATAATAATTATTAATGTTAATCATACATGAAAATAAGTAGCTTTTTCAACCCTTTAAAGATTGTGAATTTAAACTACAAGATTTCTGTGTTGTTGAAGACGAAACAGATTCCGGCAAGTTAATTTTAATCAAAGATTTTTTTTTTGAAATATTTTGATTAAAATTAACACATTATATATGTGTGTGATTAGAGGGAGTTTTTGTTAATCTTCTTGAAAATCCTGAACGTTTTACTGGATATGCTGGAGCATCAGCAAGTCGTGTATGGAAATCAATATATGAAGAAAACTGTTTTAACGTAGCCTTTCATTTGGATCCTTCATATAACATTAAAGACTTGTCACCTGCTCCAACAAATAAAAAACCATTAGGTCTTTTATTACAAAGTAAAAATGACATCTATGATGAAATATGTGTTGAGAAAAGAGTCTATTATCGTTTGATTTCTGGTTGGTTAAACTTTCTAGTTTTTTTTCTGTTGTTTATTTAAAATAAAATAATAGGATCAATTCATATATATTTATATACTGAATATATAATATTCCAGGACTTCATTCTTCGATATCCATTCATATATGTAATGAATATTTGAATAAAACTACTGGATTATGGGTAACGCCGATATAAGATTTTTTATTTTACTATGTAGATTCAAAAATTAGAACTATTAGTTTTTAATGATTGATTTTACATTAGGGTCCAAATCTTGATTGCTTTGTTGATCGCATCGGTTCATATCCAGAACGTCTTCAAAATGCTTATTTTAATTATGTAGTTCTTCTAAGAGCCATATCAAAAATTTCAAATTATCTTAAAGGATATGAATTTTGTACTGGTGATAAATTGCAAGATGAAAAAGTCAAGTCTATGGTCAATGAAATAATTGATCGGGCTCAATCTTGTCCTGAAACTTTTGATGAAAATCAAATGTTTGCTTCTCCTGAATCTAGAGTAAGTTTTTTATTTATATTTATTGACTTTGATAAGTAAACAAATCTTAATACTTTTGTGTATATTTTTTCCTTATCTATCAGATATTGAAGGAGGAATTCAAATCCAGATTTAGAAACGTTTCTCGAATAATGGATTGTGTTGGTTGTGATAAATGTCGATTATGGGGAAAAGTACAAATATCTGGAATTGGTACAGCTTTAAAAATACTTTTTTCATATGAAGATGACTTTCTAAAGTAAGTAACATGTAAACATATAAATGTGTATTGATATGACCCATAATTAAATACTTTTAAATTATCATGTTAAATATTTTGTTTATATTTATAGTCCAAAGATAGATCCAAATTTATTAAGGCGTACAGAGATTGTTGCACTATTTAACACATTTAGTAGATTTTCGGAGAGTTTAAAAATCATAGAGAAATTTAGAAAAATGTATCAACAACATAAACTAAATGACATTAATGAAACCAACCAAATCAATCAAATTAGTCAACAAGAAGAAGTAAAGAAAATTGAATTTGAAAAATCAATCAACCAAGAGGTAAACCTTTAAAAACAAGACACTTGCATTAAAAAATTTATATATTATAATCACGATTGCCAATTAATAATTTAAAACTAATGAACGTTTTTTATTTTATTTATTAGATTTTAGATGAATCTAATATTAATTCCTCTAAAGTTATTAACGAAGTCAGCCCATCATCATCATTTCCAAATATGCAATTTGTCATAGAACTTTGGGATTTCCTTAAATCAAAGGTTTCACCATACATAATACAATTTCGTCATCTCATAACACAAAGATTAGAATATTGGTACCTGTAATTATAAAGACTATAACAATATTATATTCCTTATTATTATTTATTTGAATGAAAAAACAATCTTCATGATTTATCATATTGATTTTGATTTTTATTCAATTTATTAATTTATTTCTGCAGTCTTAATTTAATAATATCGGCAATAATAAGTTTTTTAGTAATTTGTATAAAAAAACAATAGATGTAATATATAGATTTTAATTTAATATTAATTGGTTTATTTTTTTTATCCATTTAATGGCGAGTGATAGGAAAAAAGTTAATTACGCCCGACACCATTTATGGAATTTGTGTCTACTAACCAATCACCTTTTAATAGTTATATTGAATTATTATTATTGTAAAATAAATTATTGTTTCCATATTTATTTTCTATTTTCTATTTTATGCAACATATGCGCATTTATCTTTGGTTCTTGGTGTTCTTTGAAGATATTATTTTTCTCGGCCTTTTTTTTTATGCGGTAAATTGTTTGAACAACAACCTCATTAACCAATTGTACGTGTTGATTATATTTGTTTTTTGAGATTAAAGCTTTCTATCTTCGTCATCATTTCTTGTGATGTTTCAGTTTGTGTTAACCACTGGCTACGATAAATCTATCCCTATTTAGATATGATAGGAAATTCATGAACGAATTTGGAATATATTACTAACAACTAACTTTGCTTTCTATCTATAGAACATAACCATTGTTGACTACTAATTTTTTTTTGATTTCTTTTTAACCGCAAACTTTTTTTCTGCCGATTTTCTTTCATTTCGTTCTTCGAAATAAAAGACTTGCCCAACTGACCCGAGTTTCGCTATTTTCAACGCCAGTTGGCTTGTTTCATTGTTATTGCCTTTAGTGCTAGTCAAATTTTACTCGAATAAATTTGCTTTTACTCTGGTGTTTCTGTTGTGGTTGAATCTCTAATACCACCACTATCAGTTTTTTTCGCCTCATGTTGTAAATATGTTTCATTACGACTTGTAGGATTTTTATGAAGTTGTTTAGGACGGGTCTAGGACACTTTACCGACAACGCACGGGGTTACATTTAATCTCTACACTAACAAAATGTTAAAATATCACGTCGCGTGTTGTCGGTAAAGTGTCTTGTCGGTAAAGTGGGTGTCGGTAAAGTGTCCGGCTCCGTAGGACCAGGACTTGTAGAACTAGTTGAACTATATGAGTTTTGACTCTTATATGTATCCTACTACGATCATTGTTAGCTGGATTTTGACGCTTATTTGGGTCCCTGTTGTGATTACTGTTAGCTGAATTTTGGCTTGGTATTGAAGAGGATGGTACGGAAATTATATATTTGAACATTCCATTCAAAGCACCTACTTTCGATCTGTACTAATGATGTATAACGAAACTTTTGACTTTAGTCATTGACGTAACTAAAGTATTGACTAAAAAGATAATTTCTCACCAAGATTCGAATCGATGATAGATTATGCATCAAAAAATTTTTTTTTCTATAAATTAGAAAATTAAAATGAAGAAGAAAACCATCTTTTAATTATTTTATCCAATTCATTAGCTTGAGGTTGTACCTTTTTGTGTAATACCCTCATCATCAACAAATAATCTATTAATATAAGCAAATATGGATGTCACAGAAGGTTTGCCTTATAAGCCCATTTTTCCTTTTGAAATTTATTCTGAAACTGAAACGGTCATAAGTTCTAGCTAGCAGTTTAAATCAAAACAAGCCATACAACTGCCAATATTACCACCAAATCCTGCAGCAATTGAAGCCATACATCCTTCATCGCTTATTTCAAGATATGTGAAACTGATCTAGTTGGTACACTTCAGAAATCTTATGCATACAATCGAAAAGGTGGAAATACAACAAATCCTATTAACCATTTTACGTGATAAATGAAAATTAATTGGTAATCATGATGGAGTATATATGATTGTCATGTTTTTCTTGATTACTTTCTGCTATGGATACCATTCTTCTTTATCCGTAAAACAGACCGCCATATAAATAACTTGTTTTTTGATGTAAACAAAAATAAAACCGATTATTCGGTTTTGCGATTTTATTTAAATGCGGTTTTGCGCCTTTGCGATTTTATTTAAATACGATTTTTGAGGGTTCATTTAAATTTGGGGTCAGGAGATTAAAAACAGTTCCTGAAAATAAAACGGCTCTAGAAATTCGGAGAAATATATTGCATTGATTTGTAATCCTGCGTAACCTAATAAAAAATAAAAATTCAATAGTTTAACAATATTTTTTATTCCCATTTAATTAATTAATAAGCATTAGATTCTAATAATAATAATTAATAATAAAGGAAAAGGTATTGAAAGAATTGATAAAGTTGATGGATAATTGATTGATTGATTTAATTTATTTCTTAAAACTAAATTGTATATAATAATAATGTTTTGAAATAATAAAAACTTTTTTCAGTTTTTAATTATAAATTTTGGTTATTGTTCGTAACATCGTCATTTTACATGTAAAACATACCCGAGAACTTTCTTTAGAGTGTTAATATATTAATTAATACCGGTATATCACTAACTCTAATCTACCGTCAGCAAAATTATTCCTGCAATTCTACTTGCAGGTGGCGCAATGAAAGTCACCACTCCTTGAGGTCCTAAACCATCGTAAAAGTCTGTGTGTTGATTACATTTTTTAATAGTGACGTTGGCCGGCTAAGAAATTTATCGGCTTAGCCGACCAAGGAATTTTTAAACGGCCTAGCCGGCTAAAAAAAATTTCTCTTAACATTCATTTTTACGTGTGGAATTTTAGTGCAGAATTCAGTGGCATGAACATTTAGTTGAGATGTGTCTACCTACATTACTTAGAATGACAAAAAAACATACATTTGCTAAAAAACAAAGTACAATACATCATATCAGGATAAAAGCCATAGAGTTTCTATTCGTAATACAAATTCTTATTTTAATTCGAATTATTATTATTCGAAATATTTGTTCCATTCGAATTATTTGTTCCATTCGAATTATTCTTTCTATTCGTATTATTCTTTCTATTCGTATTATTTGTTTATTTGAATAAAACTTTCAATGTAATTCGAATACTCAAATTCATAACAAATAAAACAAATATTTTGAACCATTAAAGGCGAGATATTATAATAACAATGGTAAATAATAGTAATAATAATAACGACGATGGTAGTAATAATAATAATAATACCGGCAAGTTTAGTACCATCTGAAAAAGTTTTTCATGGACTGGGATTTATTAAGTTCTTAGCCGGCTAAGGTTTTTCTATCGGCTAACATCGCTATTTTTTAATAGCATTTATTAATACTAGTAGTTGCACCAAGAGCAGCTTGAATTCATTTATTTAGAATCAAGTTGATTGATAGATTTGCTAATACCTATAAAGGTTTACCAACTTTGGGTTTTTCAATTAACCACCTTGGCTTCAAGTTAGAATAATAAAGATAGATGCATATATAATATATGGATAGTAATGATAAGGTGATTTAAGATTTAATATGTAATTTTTGCATTTCGTGACATAATTTTGTGTTTTTGCAATTTGATCGTAAATGAAAATGCATCATGGCTGATAAACAATCTTGAAAGAATACCCGGTGTTTTTAGAAATGACTCGGAAATAATGTGACAGTTAGGTTGATGGTGTTAATATAAAACAATTATTATTATGAAGTAAAACAACAAAAATATTTATCTCGCTTGAGAATGAATTGATACTATATAGAATTTTTATAATGTTGTGAAGTCTTTATTATTATTTAACTTAGCCCAAAAAAGGTTATATAAAAATTTAGCTGCCCTTACTTCTTAAAAATTGATCACCCTGGGATGTTGATGATGGCTTTTCACTGTGTAAGATAAAAAAATCAAAAAAAAAAAAATCAAAAATCAAAAAACAGAGAAAAAAGAAATGGCTTTTATTACTAATAAATTTTCAAGACAAATTGTTTTTCGTTTTAATAAACATTCAATTTTTTTTACTGGAAATAGTAATAGTATTAGTAATAGTAATGGTGTCAAAGCTTTTATGATAAAAAATAAATTTGAAAATGTCAAACAAAGTTCGTTCTATAAAAATTTAAATGTATTTTTTTTTATTTTTATTTTATTCAATGTGTATATTATACATACATACATACATTTTTGATTTTTTTTTATTTCTTTATTTTTTATTAAACACACACACATATATATACATGCTTATATTTATATAAAATTAGGGAATTATCGAATAGCTCCTGGTCAACCTTCAACACAAAAAGGCTCTGCACTTGAAGAGTTTGGTTATGATTTGACAAAATTAGCAATTGAAGGTAAATTAGATCCTGTAATTGGACGTGAAGAAGAAATAAGGCGAACTATTCAAGGCTAGTGAGTGATATCTATTTAATCTACTTCATTATAGTTCTCAAATGATAATAATATATATTTATCAACAAATTTGATGATTATTTTCTTTATTATTATTATTATTAGTGTAAGTTATGATTTGATTTTTTATGCAGTATATTTGTTAAAACAATTATTGTTATATATTTACATATTTGTGTAATTAATTATATAGACTATCACGTAGAACAAAAAACAATCCTGTTCTAATTGGTGAGGCGGGTGTAGGTAAAACAGCAATCGTTGAAGGCTTAGCACAAAGAATCATTAATGGAGAAGTGCCCGAGAGTATAAAAAACAAAAAAGTCATTGCACTAGATCTTGGATCTATTATAGCAGGATCAAAATTCAGAGGCGAATTTGAGGACAGATTAAAAACCATATTAACAGAAGTACAGGAAGCAGAAGGAAAATTGATATTGTTCATTGATGAATTGCACAACCTACTTGGTTTAGGAAAAGCTGAAGGTTCAATTGATGCAGGTAATTTGCTTAAACCTGCTTTGGCAAGAGGTACATTAAAATGTTGTGGTGCCACTACAATCGATGAGTATAGAAAACATATTGAAAAAGATCCAGCATTGGCCAGGCGATTTCAGTCTGTTATGGTTTTAGAACCAACAGTAGAAGATACTGTATCAATATTAAGAGGTTTAAAAGAAAAATACGAAGTTCATCATGGTGTAAGAATATCAGATTCTGCTCTTATTGCTGCAGCAACTTATTCACATCGATATATAACTGATAGATTTTTACCTGACAAGGCTATTGATCTAGTTGATGAAGCATGTTCAAAACTCAGATTACAACAAGAAAGTAAACCTGAAGCAATAGAAGATCTTGATAGACAAATTATTACTTTAAGAATAGAAATGGAATCTTTAAGAAAAGAAACTGATCCTGTTTCAAATGAGCGTAGACAAAAAATACAAAAGGAGCTTGATGAAAAACAAGCTGAGTCCAATAAATTGAATGACATCTGGCAGGAAGAAAGAGTTAAATTGCAAGAAATCAAATCCATTAAATTGAAATTAGAGCAAGCAAGGATTGAATTGGAATCTGCTCAAAGACAAGGCAATTTTACTAAAGCAAGTGAGTTGAGATATGGTGTTATTCCAGAATTGGAAAAACAATTGCCAATAGATGGTGAAGATCAAGAGACTGGTTCTTTGATACATGAAAGAGTGACAGCTGATGATATTGGATCAGTTATATCCAGAATGACTGGTATACCAATACATAATCTACTTAGAAGTGAAAGGGATCGATTGTTACATATGGAGAAAACTTTATCTCAACGAGTTGTTGGGCAAGATGAAGCTATCAAATCAGTTTCAGAAGCTGTTAGGTTAAGTAGAGCAGGTCTACAAAGTTCCACAAGACCAATTGCATCATTTTTGTTTCTTGGACCAACGGGTGTTGGTAAGACTGAATTGTGTAAGGCCATAGCAGAATTTTTATTTGATACAGAGTCATCTATCATACGTGTAGACATGAGTGAATATATGGAAAAGTAGGTCTCTGCTACATGTGGTTTAATTGAGAAATTGATATTATTTCTTTAGAAAAGAATTTTTTTGATTGATAATGAAAAATTTTCACTTATAGATTTGCAGTATCAAGATTAGTTGGTGCACCACCAGGTTATATTGGTTATGAAGAGGGTGGTGAACTTACTGAAGCTGTTCGTAGGAAACCATTTTCTGTTATTCTCTTGGATGAAATGGAAAAGGCCCATAGAGGTAAAATATTTTATTTATTTATTTATTTATTTATTGCACTTGTATCACTAATGATAAATTATTATATATTTTTTTTTCAAGATGTTGCAAATTTATTATTACAAGTTCTTGATGATGGATATATTACTGATTCACAAGGTCGTAAGGCAAGTAAACAAGGGCAGATATAATTAAAGAATTTTAATATGCATATATTTTCAATTGCCTACTTACATGTTATATAATTAATTAATGAATAGATTGATTTTAGAAATGCAATTATTATTATGACAAGTAATCTTGGTGCAGATGTATTAGCATCATCTGATTTGTCTGGAGATGGTAAAGTTGGTAATTTGACAAAAAATGCTGTACTTGATGTAGTCAGAAGGCATTTTCCACCAGAATTTGTCAATAGAATTGATGAAATGGTGAGTTTCAATATTAATAAAAATAGTATATTAATATTAATATTATCATTATTATTATTATTGAAGTGATGACTTTATTAATATTATTATATGATATATATAGATTGTTTTCAACAGACTTTCACGTTTGGCTTTGAGGGATATTGTTGATGTGAGATTACGCGAGGTTCAAGAAAGATTAAATGATAAACAGATTACTATTGATATTGACGGACATGCAAAAGCATGGTTAGCAACAAATGGTTATGATCCTGTTTATGGTATGTAGAAATTTCACACTGTATGATTTTCAATAAGTTTACTGGAACAATTTAGATAAATAGCTAATTAATAATAATTAATAGGTGCCAGACCACTTAATAGGTTGATTCAAAAGAAGATACTTAATCCTTTAGCAATGAATTTAATAGAGGTAACAATAGATAACTCACTTTTGTAAAAAAATTATAGTTAGTAATAATTTATATTTTAATAGGGATCTATCAAAAGTCATGAAGTAGCAAGAATACGAACAATAAAATTGAATGATTTAGAAGATGATCTAATTATTGAAAAAAATCATGAGGTCTCATCACCATCATCATCATTTAATGAAATTACCAATTAAATCAAATATATTTTTTTCAAAAAGATGCTTCAGATATACACTTCTCTATTATGGATTTCAAATTGATTGGAAGCCATTCTTATGGACCTTTTTTTTAAAAGTATCTTGAAAGATATTCAAGTCTTACATTTTTACATTCTTATAAAATCTTTGTTTATTGTTTATTGGTATTGTAAAAAAAACTTTTTTGGCACAAATATATTTAGAATAAAAAATTAAATTCATCAATCCCCTTCCTTACCTGTTTTACATCATGATGCAATTTTATAATTTAAGATCCTGATGTTAATAGTATTATTAATGGAAAAAATTTTTTTTATTTTTGATAATATTTTTGGAGACTTGCTGTTTTTTTTTATTTAATTGAAAAATATATTTTTGGTGACCTGCCATATTTTATTAATATTAATATTAATATATAAAGAA